TGGTTAATGTTTCTTTAAGAATTTCCCCTATCTAATCTGAGAATTTCTTCCAATAGAGTAACAGTATCCTTTCTGTGACTTTGCATTTTTATTTTGAGCTTTATTCATTTGGTTATGGAGATTTGCTTTCATTATGGTTTAGGCAGTAATTGCTACTTGCACAAAATTCTCTCTCTCTCTCAAAGAATCTGACTATCAGTTATTCCTTTTATTCCAACTTCTTGGAAAAAGTATTTTAGCTGTTGTTCCTGATACCTGTATTAGATTCTAGTTTTCTGCTAAACTCCATTTGTGCTCGTATTTTAGATTTTTCCTCTCTTTCAAGATCATCAAACTTTGCTGGCAAATATAAATGTTTGATGTTTGAAATTTTCTTTGTTAAGATTTTTAAGAGCATTAACGTACGTGAGTAAAGTTTGAGTAGAAAATTTTTGGTGTTTTAATTACAGGAATTTGTTTTGCGTATGTATGGAATTTAATACATAAAAAAGATTTAAACTATTTTCTTAACTTTATTGATTGGAAAATATATTTATTTTTTTGTGTTTATTGTGTAATATTATGTAACAAGTGGCATTTTATATATATTTCATATTTTTTCTAATAATTGTAATTCATTAATCAATATCTAAATTGAAGCAAATAGTCCATGTTTTAGTGTTTATATTAATAATGCTTGCAGTTAATGAATTTTATGCTTTATATGTGTTTGGTTTGAAAAAAATCAATACGACAGATTTATTCATATATCTAAACAAATTTTTACTACCTGGTACATGTATCAAAATGTACAAACTAGGAAATTAAAAGATTCTTTTATGCGAAATTTTGACAGTTTGTACAAAACACCTCTCTTACACTGTGGTAAAAGATTTTTTCAAATCTTTTTTTCAAGGATTGTACTTGATATCCACTTTCTTCTGTTTATAGGAGAAACGAAGAGGTTGATGAAAAAGCATTGATTAAAAAACTTAGGAAAAGAGTTGCGGAACTTGAGAGTGAATTGTCATGTCTGTTAATGGCAAAGGTAAGTTAGCTAGATTACTGTGTACAGGGTTATTTTTGCCCTTCAAACATGCAAAACATACACTTCATTTTAATTTCACTCAGACACAGTTATGTAAAAGAGTAATGTTTTCTTTTAATTCACCCTATTTTGAAGTTGAATAATAGAGAAAAGTTAAACAAGTGTGAAAATTTTGCTGGTAAGTTTTCCTATGTACAGGTTAATTTAATTTGCTTCAATGTATATACCACTTTTTTTCCTACTACATTTTATAGGAAGATGTGCAGTTTAGTTTAGAAATGATGAATGCCAAACTTACAGATGAAGACAAGATTCAGTGCAATAAAGTTATTAAGTCGTACTTAGATGGAAAAGTAGCAGATCCAGTCAGCGAAGGTAGGAAACTGGTGTTACAAAATTTACATTAGAACCTGGAACAAAGTCTTCCACATGATCAAATCATTGTTTTAGGATGGGAACAAGTGCTGTTACAATACATGTAACTGTGAAAAATTTCAAATGTATGTAGAGGTGGTATATTATCAAAAATATTGGAACATTTGCACATTGTGTCGTTTATACATGAAATTTGCAGGCAAGGATTTGAAAAATTTAAATCACTAGTAGCTACCCCAACTCTAATTTTTATTAGAGAAATAAGAATCCGAGATTCTGAGTTCCGAAATAAGCCACTTAAGTGAAAAACGTGGCATTACAGAATTCAGTCCTTTGTACATGGAACACTAACTTATATTTGCAGGTATCACAGCTCTACATTAGTTCAGGATAAATAGAAAAATATTCTTACACAGTTTGTAAAACTTCAGTATTCTGAAATTTCTCATGTTTTCTTTTACAGGTATAACAAATCCATACAAATTTAGAGAGTGTATGAAGATTCTGAAGAAGATGATATTAGAAGGCTACTACAATAGTGCTAATCCAGACGATGTGCCAAACTACTATGAAACTTCTGAAGAGGTGACTACTGAGCTGCGAGCAAGCTCAACCCCAGAGAAAGAGGCTCAGGTGCTCAGAGTACACCATCATAGACAAAGAAATGATGAGTAAGTGTTGTTTGGGTGCTGAGAGTGCACCATAGACAAAGATATGATGAGTAAGTTTTGCTCAGGTGCTCAGGTTGAATATAATGAGTTCAAATTAGTAGAAGATGTAACATGCTTGTAAATAAATGAATTGAGGAACTATTTTGCTGTTTAGCAAAGGCATTTGGGGGGGAGGGCGGCTAATGAGTAAATCTGACATAATAAACCAAGCTATTTGTTTTCCTAGACAATAAACAAATAATTTCTGGTTAAATGAACATGTTGATTGCATTGGGATTTAAATTTTTAGTATATGTGGGAGTGGAATGATCTACTTCATTGCTGACCTGTTAACTTTCTCAATCAAAGTGAGGAGATTAAAATTGAAAGATTAATTGTTATAAGATATTTGTTTATTGAAGGATGCTTTACAAAAGAAAATAAAAATATGTCAAAAAGTCCCTAGTTTTAGTTTTTCAAACCTAAATCGAACAAAAACAGCAGTCAGAGAGCAGATAAGTTGAATAAATTCCCTGCAGCCAAAACAAAGGGAATTACACTCTTTAATGTCTTAGTAGAATTTAATCCTTGGATTTAAACAGATTTTGAGGTTAAATTGAAATCAAAAAGACTTTGTCAGGTAATCCCTGTTCACAATGTAATGTTCTTAAGCTTTTGATTTTAATTGTAAGTATTACGTTTTATTGTAATACACTGCATGTGCAGTAAAATGCTTAATACTGATTTAAGTAATCATTAACACGATAGATGAACTGTGCACAAGGAATGTAGCAGTTGTCTAGACTGAATTTTACAAATAATTTGGATAGTTTTCTGTGACTTTGGATTTATAGTCCATCATCTTATGTGCCATTGACAGAAACTTAGATGTCAAATATGGAGTTCTTTAGACATATGATATCAGTTTCTCATGCTGAGTATACTACTATCTACAAATTCAGGAAAACGGTGCAGATTCCCATCCCAACGCGGAGTGCCTGGGGGGAGGAGACATATACCACAGAGCCAGAACAATCAATGAGGCGGCCCCATCACAGGGAGAGGCGGAGGTACCACCAGGGCCCCAGGGACATGGAGGAGGAGGGACTCAGGACCGCCGGGGAGAGTGACATAGAACCAGGTGGGGGTGTACAAATGTGAGGGTGTGTGTGTTCTGTGTTACCGGTAATTTCAGTGTAAGAGATTTCTTCAATATAGGAGAGAAACTTCACATGGAAAAGGCATGCTTTTATATAACTCACAATGATAAACCCCCATCACACCTCAATATGTATAATGGAATCTGTATGTTATAAATTGTTATACCTTCTGCAAACTTATATGTAGAAGTATTTGATGTATATCTGTCCACCCCATTTCATCTCTTTGGAATAATACAATAATGAATAAGCAATGGAAACATTCTTCAGAACTGCTTATGATTGCTAATTAGAATATCACATATAATTTCTTTTCTTCCTCCCTTCCTGCCTCACTACTGAACATGGAGTCAAAGTAAAGACAATCTTGTGACATTAAATGATTATCCATGATTTAAGATGATTAAACCTTAGAAGTAATGTATCAGACATCAGGTTAAGGTCACTGAGGTAAAGAGAAGATGATAAAATTTAAAAGAAATTGAGGATTGCATTTAGCCTATAACACCTGAGTAATAAATGAAGTTATTGTTAGATTTATTTTGAATGGGTAATTTTTATTTAACTGAATAGATGATTATTTGTATAGCAGTGCTTGTAGAATTGCACAGTAAATACCTGATTACTTAATAAACACATCCCTTTATGTAAAAGAATGGCAAAATTTTCAAAGAGAAGAGCATTTCTATCTATCATTGAAATGAGAATCTTATTGTACTGGTTTTTAAAATCATTGAGTAACTTGTTTATGCCATTATGTTAAAAAAAAAATGATCTAAATGATGTTGATTTATTTGGACTTGTGTAGTTACTAGTTAAACATATATTCTACCGTACTTGTCTTGAGTTTTAGGAACTATCCAAGATCTAGATATCTGTATACAAATATGTACCAATCCTGCTTATAAACTTTAATAGATGAAAAAATAAATCTTAATACATATAAAATGGATCCTTATTTTACTACAGCTCCACCTAAAGAGCCAGCTGACAATCTCTCCACAATTCTGAGACAGACCAGAAGCCGGAAGAAATACAAGTCCCCGTTCGAGAGGCGGAGAATTAAGGAGATCAAGAAGTTAAATGAGAAGGTAGAGACCATGCAGCAGACGCAGATCAGTAAGGAGGGGGAACTAGTCAAGATGAAGATCAGTATGGCCGAACAGGAACTTAATCTGATGGAGGAACAAGTCAGGTAGGGAACATAGCAGGTTTTAATGGGGTCATAAACCAAAATTAAATAGCCTTTATATCTGCAGAATTCATCATTGTATGTGTCAGACTTCAAGGTAAGGCTGTAATAATGTTGGAGATTCTCTTTTTTCAAGTACTTTTAAATACATTTTGATTTTGAACTTGTGATTTGGTTTCCCTATTTTCCCCATGTTTAGGAGTGGAAGTCCCGCAGACCTGTCTTAGTAAATGAAGTATTTTTGTGTATAGATAGTTTGATGTCTGAGTGATATTTTGTACGTTTACTTTAAATGATCTGCATTGTAGAACTAAACTGAATGTGACGAAGGACCAGCTAGCTGACCAGAAGGCGTACGTCCAGCAGCTGAAGTCTATAGAGGCAGACAAGGAGGTTGTAGAGAGAGAGAAGATCGTCGAGAAACAGTTACGCAAGAAGGAGGTAGGCTAAACATAAAGAATTCCATCATTTTCATTTTCAATGTTACCAGGTAGTTTACAGTTACATGAAGCTTTCATTGATAGCTGTATGTAAGGGAAGAATATTTTTTGCTCACTATTTAGGCAAAGGCCACCAAGAAGATTGAGGTGATAGAAGAGAAACGTAAACAGCTGGTCCAGCATTCAGAGGAAGTGGACCATGAACTGAACAAGGCAAAACCCACCATCAGAGAACAGTACGGGAAATACCGCAAGAGGGACGGTAGTCTTAACACCAGACAGGTGTACGATATGCTGAAATCCGAGGAGAAGAAACAGGGAAAGGTAAGCAGGCAGATTAAGATAGATTTCTTTTTGACAAAGATAAGACCATACAAGATAGGTCAGGAAGATGTTTTTGAAGGACAACTGCTGTTCTGCTACATGCTTTTTATTTAAAAATTGTATTTTAACTTAAAATTATGAGGCATTTATCTTCATTGGTCAGTGTTGGGAAAATCAGTTATTAATTTTGAATTCTTTAGATTCAAAATCAACTGGAGCAAGAGAGGATGGTGATGATAAGCCAGCAGTTGGAATTGAAAGAAGCTGCAACTCGTCAGAAACTACGGGACTTCAAGGAGCTGCTCCGGATGTCCCACTCTGCTGGTTTTCCTGATGGTCACATTGGCCGTGACAATGACCCCAGGGCAGTGACCGCCCCAGATTATGGGGAGGGCCCTGAAAGACTAAAAGCTAGAGAAGAAGTGGGGCTTGAAGACATGAACGGCAGAGTGGGAAGTCCGGAGAGGACTGTGTACACTGCTGCTACGACTCACATCAATAACGGACTAGAGTCACGAGGGCTTCCAACCCGTGAATCAAGGGCCATAACTCAGAAAGAGGATCCCTGAGAGTCGGCCTGTGTCTCGTCAGAGCGTGAGGTCGACAAAGTCGTTAGTTCCCGATAGTGAGTTTTACGCTAAACGTAAACAGGAGAAGGATCCCACAGCTCGCTGGGAGTCGTCCTACTCCAGACCTTCCACAGCTTGTAGCCAGAAACAACCTGACATTGACTTAATTTACATGCAGCCCAAAAAGCTGGAAGATAGTGAGGAAGAAATGAAATACGGATTAACTGACGATGTAAAGTCTGCCAGAGAGGAGTCAAGAAAATCTACTGCGAGGACAAAGCCTCCTCGAGCACCAAGTCATTCCTCAAACAGAATCGAGGATGATCTGGAGGACTATGAAACACTAATTCCCAGTGAATATGTTCATAGTATGGGAACTAAGGACAGATTTGATGGAAAGAAAATGGGTCTTTCTTCCACAACTTTCGATGCAGCATTGGCATCCATGCTGGAGAAAGCTGGTGATGACAATCTGTATTACAGCCATGATGACTATGACCAGTATGCGAGTACAAACAAAACCCGCACTTTTGACAGAGACAGTTCCCTGGATAGGGAGTTGTATGCAATATCTCAGAGATCTCGCGAGAGTGACATTCGAGCCATTTACGGCTCTCCCTTAAAAAGCAGCAAGAGCATGCGTCAAAGTCGACCCAAAACGAGACAGAAACCTATTTATCATTCAGACGACGAGGATATTGAGATTAAACCACGATCAAGTTTTTCACCTGCCCTAGCCAAACGAGATAAATCTCTAGAGGACTGGGAAAGGCGAATGTTACAGAAAAATTCTGCCAGGAGTGCCCGCAAAAATTCACCACTTAAAAAGAGTAAATCCAATAATTTTACGTCAAATCGATATTCTACGGAAAGTGATGATGATCCTGTGAAAGAAGGGCCGAACAATTACAAAAACTGGGGGCCACAAACAAAGGTAGGTCTGCAGTGAATGAATACTTCAATCAGCTGCCATTCAAACTATGGTCAAAGTCTTGATTGAGAAGTGCAAAATTTTTGGCTTACTACATTTTGTAAATAGTTTGACATAACTATTCTCAATTTTCTCAAGAATTCATTTTAGAGTGTATATTTTTTGTCTGAAAATGCTTTAATTAGTCCTATAGGGACATTTCTGTAAAGCATATAGTTTTGTAATCTGAGCTTTTCAAAAATTAAATCTGCTTTGTTCAATTTAAAAAAAATTTTTTTTTTTGGTTTGAATTCTTTATTGTTAACTTTGATAATACTGTGTGGTAGATTACACTAGATTTTTTGTAGATTTTAAGACAGGTAGATGTAGAATCTGTCATTTATTTTGTTGGCACCTTACTTTTCAGCACGCTTCAATAGCAGGACGCTTGGCTAACTTCTCTATAGAGACTCCAACTCCGGCAGGTAGGTCTTATAATGGACAAACCTCCTCTCAAAAGGTTTTGTATGTTCAATTTGATAAATGCATAACAGTTCATGTATTTGTATTTTGAGACACTTTATCAGGTGATACACTTGTTTAGTTTTACATAATTATGCACTGTAATGCAAAATGGTTTTAAATTTGTTTTAGGCACCAACACATTAGCTCAATCTTTTGAAAAGCACTACATGTGCATGTACATGTATAGTTAGCTAAAAAAGATAAGCTGTTGTCAATTTCCACAGTAGATGTACATCTGTTTATAACTTGGTGCACATATGAGTAATTCTAATATCATATATATGTAGATTTTTAGAGATAACTTTGATTTGTTTAAATGGCTATAAGGCTATAAAAGTTTGCAAGTAGTCCATCAATATATTATTCAACAGTCTCACATATTGATTTATGAAGCTTTCTATTTTGAATTAATGCTATGTTCAATTTAATTGATTAAAATATTACCCCTAATTATAGATAATGAAGTAAATGGAAGTGAGTACTATTATCCCTCGAGGACCAACAGCCTAGTCATAGAGGAGTCCAAATTTAAATCCGTAACGGCCGTCCCAGATGACGAGGCAGAAAATTCATTTATGGGAAAAGTTCAAGAACAGCGAGATCGCGTAAACAAAATCAGACAAGTCAGAAAATCTGCGGAAGTCATACAGACAGCATGGAGAAAGTATCAGGAGAAAAAGAGACATGCTCGGTGGTGATTTATGTGTTATCGTGACATATTGTGCCAAAAAGGTGAATAATTTGTTCTGTTCAGGGAAAAATAATATGATATTAACTGGCTCCTCCTTTGGGTTTTCTAAAGCAATAATGAAGACTATATTGTTTTTGTTGACCATTTCAAATTGTGCTATTTTTTAATACACAATTGCATTTTGAACAGAAGCAGAATTTGGAATACTGGAATGGAATATCTGTTGATTATTTGTAAATTGCTCCTACATAGAAGTTGATTTATGGAATAGGTGTTGGTCAAGATTGAAAGATTAGAAATATCTATTTTTCTTTTCATATATTGAGAAATAAACAACTTAATATTTAGATGTAGAAAATTTGTGTTGAAAATTACACAAAAGTGGATTCAAGTAGAAATGCAATGTATTGAAAGTACTGGTAGTTCTAGCAGATTGTTCATGAATATTCGAAAATCTGTGTTTTTTTCTCAAAAAGCCTAATTTCAACCAACCAGTATGTACAAAAACTTTTTAGTAATTTGTTGTAATGCCTCTTTTGCGTACACAAATGTTTCAGTAAAGTTATATGGAATGAATTCAGGGTCCTATTTTGTGAAATTGTACTTAAATAAAATTATATAACTTATTTCTTCTTCTAAACAACATATTTTTTTGTTCTATTGAAAAACGGGTCCCTGAATCATTAGTTTATACATGTATTGTTATTTTTTGTATCAAGAAAAATCAAATGAAGAGTTGTATTACCACAAAGCTTGCCCAAAATACTGTTACATGAGTTGTCTGTGATATATATAAAATAGATTAAAAACTTTTATTTTTATAATTGTTTTTAATGTACATAATAGATATATATGTATATTTTTAAATATTTTATATTAATTTTCAAGAATAAGAGAGATCCAGTGTAGTATAAATGTTTTAAGTTTTAGACATTCCATGAAGTATTTTTGTGTTAATCGATTGTTTTTAAAAATTCTCAGTCTTTATCTTCTCCTTCATAAAAAAAAATTACTACTGGTAGTATATTTTCTGATGCCTTATACATTTGCAAATAAGTGCTGATGTAATGCTGTGTAACCATTGTCTGAAAATGCACGATATTTTCTAAGCAAGACAATCAATGAAGAAGTCCTCTGTCTCATTATCAAATTACAAACAGTTTACTTGAAATAAAGAAAAGTAGAATCAGTTGTGTTTGTCTTTATTAGCATGGTCTTCTATTGAACTTTGCTACATGTATATATTTACATTTGTTGTGTTTTATTGTAATAAACTAACCTATAAAACTGAATGCCATGTCTGTGTATAGTTATACTGTAAATCACTTTTTATTCGCGAGAACTTTATTTTCGCGTAATTACGCGAGACAGTGTGCTCGCGAAAATTTAATTCTCGCATATAATAGTATTCCTTTATAAGAATATATAAAGCAATAACCACAACTCGCGAAAATTTTGTCTCGCTAATCAAGAGCCAATGACTATCTCGCGAAAATAAGGTGTCGCGAAAATTTAGTGATTTACAGTACACAAAAGAACTTGTACTGTTGTGCCTTAACAATGAGGCTACATTTAGTACAAAGATGATCAAGGCACTTGTTCTTTACAAATTGCCACTATCTTGATTTTTTTTCTAGGTTGTATTAAATTTTTGTCTGAAACTCTATGAAATAAATTCCCTGCGATTGAATTCGTTCTGAAGCCATTCTTTGAGGTCTCAACTTATTGTGCAAAAACAAGGGCCCATCACACTTGCAAATATATAATATAGTAAAAGCCTCTTATCAAACTCGATTTACTAACCAAGATTTACGTTTTATTTTAAGTAGAGTGTCAGGGTCCCCATCCCTAAGTGGGTAAGCCCCTGGGCCTGGGACCCATAACTTTCCAGTGTTGTTGGCTTATGGAGAAAGGGCAGAACTGACTACAATGGAATGGATCCTATTGAAATATCCAGAATTCATACACTATAATAACTAATTTACTATTACTATATATACGTTATAGCTAGTAATGATGATTTATTATACACCCGCTTGAAAAGCGGGAGGGTATATAGTAATCGGGATATCTGTCTGTTACACTTGGGGTACCCATCTCTCATCTGCAACTCCTCTCATACATATGGCATGCCAAAATCACAAAAATGAGCAAAACATAGTTTCACAGTCGATAAACTAGGTTTCTCGGTTGTAAACTATAGTTTAGGGACTGTAAACTATAGTTAACAACAATAATTTATATTTTACATCTGTAAACTATAGTTAACACGATATTTGTGGCAAGCCAAATTCAAAAAAATGAGCTAAACATAGTTTCACAGTTGATAAACTAGGTTTATCGACAGTAAACTATAGTTAACAATTCTTTAACTATAGTTTTCATCTGTAAAACTATATTTAACAGTTGTTAACTATAGTTTACGAATGCTAATCTTAGTCTATCCGTTTGTAATAAAGCGTTTACAATAGATTTTGTTGATAAACATTGATTCACGTTTGTAAACTTTTATTTACAATCGTAAACTATAGTTAGAGTTGTTAATCATAGTTTCACAATCGTGAAACTATATTTATTAGCTAACAGTTAACTACAGTTAAGAGTTGTAAACCATATTTTACAAATCATGAATCTGTACTTATCAGATAATCTATATATTGCAATCGCAAATGATTGTTTTCGGTGTTATTTTTAGTTTACGGTTCTGAAACATAGATTATTGCGTTAACTATGGTTTACAGACGTAAAATATAAATTAATGATTTAACTATAGTTTACTATAGTTTACAGTCCATTAACTATAGTTTACAAAAAATAAACCTAGTTTATCAATTATGAAACTATGATTAGCTCATTTTTTGTGAATTTGGCGTATCATAGATATTCTATGTTTCACAACCGTAAACTATAAACTATACTTAACACCAAAAGCAATCATTTGTATGGCACACCCAATTCACAAAAATGAGCTAATCATAGTTTCACAATCGATGAACCAGGTTTATCGGTTGTAGTTTATGGACTGTAAACTATAGTAAACAACGTTGATCTATATTTTACATCTGTAAACCATAGTTAACGCGATAATCTATGTTTCACAACCGTAAACTATACTTAACACCGAAAACTATCATTTGCGATCGCAAAACATAGATTATCTAATAAATACAGTTTCACGATTTGTAAACTATAGTTTACAGACGTGAATCTATGTTTATTAAAAAAATCTATTGTTAATGTTTTATTACAGACAGATAAACTTAGATTAGCATTCGTAAACTATAGTTAACAACGTTAAATATAGTTTTACAGATGAAAAGTATAGTTAACGAATCGTTAGCTATAGTTAACGATTTGTAAACTATAGTTTACAGTCGATCAGCCTAGTTTATCAATTGTGAAACTAGGTTTAGCTCATTTTTGTGAATCTGGCGTGCCATACATTTGCTATAGCAAAACATAGATTATCTGATGAATACATTTTCACAATTTGTAAACTATGGTTTACACAACTCTCACAACTATAGTTAACGATCGTACATTATAGTTTACAGACGTGAATCTATGTTTATCAACAAAATCTATTGTTAACGTTTTATTACAGACAGATAAACTTAGATTAGCATTCGTTAACTATAGTTAACAACCGTTAGATATAGTTTTGCAGATGAAAACTATACTTAACGAATTGTAAACTATAGTTCACGGTTTATAGCCTATAGTTTACAGTCGATAACCTAGTTTATCAATTGTGAAACTAGGTTTAGCTCATTTTTGTGAATTTGGCGTGCCATACAAAGCACTGAATGAAAATTGATGAGACTTTCAGAGAATCTTTATTACATAATGCCATTGTGCACCTCCTATTTTACTTTTTGATGCTACACATATTTTGGGTTTCCCGTAGCAAAATATGGACACTGCCATTGTATTCAGAAAGGAGGCGGGGTTATCATTTAGTGAGCTCAATGCTCACAGTACCTCTTGTTTAAAAATAACTTTTAGTATAAAATAATTTATTGTATCATTTTTTGTAACAACTGGAATAAAAAAAGATCCATCCTCTCCCCTAGTTACCAACTATTCTTGAAAGTTGTCGGCTGGGTAACAAACTAACAAGAGCGCATCACAAAAGTGCAATAGAAATTCAGTCACCTTCGGTTAGAGAATTACATGTAATATACGACCTACAATTAGGGATGACGCATATTTTTGACATATATTAAGCACATAGGTCAAAACATCCCTTTAAATACTATGCAAAAAAGATCAAGTCAGTGAAAAATTTCAAAATGACAAAGCTATTTTTTTTAAAAGTGTTTAAACTAGAGGCACTGTGAGCAAAAATGATACACCCCCACCTCCCACATGAATATAATGACAGTGTCCATGTTTTGCCGTGGGAAACCCCAAATATGTGTCGGATCAAAAAGTAAAAAAAGAGGTGCACAATGTCAATATGTAATAAAGTTTCTGTGAAAGTTTCATCAAATTTCATTCAGTGGTATGAGAGGAGTTGCGGATAAGAGATGGGTACCCAAAGCGTAACAGACAGACAGACGGACATGTATACCGATTACTATATTATAATACCCTTTCGCTTTTCAAGCGGGGGGGGGGGGGGTATAATTATATCGTTCATATACCAACGCTTATCACATTGTCTGATGCAAGATAAGCTCTGAAGAACTGCTATAAAAACTAAAGAACACTCTTGTGATTTTGTCAAACTTGAAAATTCATCTCTTTAGTTAATTTGAATTTTTAAAAAATATTTCATCATTTTTGCCAGCACTCTGTCTGGTGTTCTTTTACTAGTCTCTTAAACCTTAACCCCGCTATTAGCGTTTGATATATATATATATGCCGTCATCGGACGATTTATTAATCGGATACATAAAGTTTCTCCATTGACAGCTTTCTTTGGAGGAGGTTATGGGCTCGCACTTCTGTTTCGCCTTATCTGATTGGTTAATTGTAATACAGTTTAAATATCTATAACCAATCAGATAAGGCATAACAGAAAAGGTACTCCAAAACCTTCTCCAAAGCTGCCAATGGAGAAAATATATGTATCCGGTTAATAAATCGTCTGATTACGGCATATTAAACATCAATGGCGGGGTTTAGGTTAAATAGTTTTGTAGAAAAACATCTCCCTGAGAGAAACAGGGACCATTTTGCTATCATTGCCTTGCAAAAGTATGATAGGTAACACTGTTATTACCTTGGAAATCCGTCTCGAAGCGGGGAAACCCCCGTTTGTTTACAACTTTTGTTTCTTACTTTGTGTATTTTTATTATACCGAATAGGGCCATTCTTTAAACGTGAGAAAAAGTACAATCTGCTTGCATATAACGACATATAGATGTGTTTGACGGGACTTTTTTTTATATTTTGAGATATTGGACACTCTTACATTTTTTTTCATTAAAAATAGGTGGGGGGGGGGGTATTATCCACACTTCAGGTGCCTGTGTGAGCAATGAGCTCACTAAATGATACCCCAGCCTCACAAAATGTCCATGTTTTGCTATACGTTTTACTGTAACGTGTAAAGAGGAATAACTCGTGGTATCCAATGTTATTCAGAAGCCGCCATATCTCACGTCATAGGTAAGAATATAATGGCAATGTCCATCATGTATCCTCTTATACCACGGAGTGTTTAATGAACCTTTCACAGAATTTTTATTACATATTGCCATTGTGCACCTCGTCTGCTAAATGTTGTGTGATGCGTCTAGTGTGTTGGTGTTGGTGTCTGTGTGCTTGTCACTTCTCGCTTTCAGACCTCACCGCTGGCTAGCAGCAATGCGAAAAGGGAAGCAATTTGTATGTACATAGCCTCTCCACAACAAGTCCTATGCGATGCCTCCACGTGGAAGCAGACGGATACTGGGCATCTTTCGGCCCCAGGCTAACTTCGCAAGGGCGCACGGGAAGATGGGGCTCGAAAGCCTAGGTCGGCAACTCATCTGATTACAATCCGGATTTATTAGAAGACCGTTAGCAACTACATGTACTATGTTGACCCTCAGACATAAAATTGGGGGTTAGACTTGACGCTAATCACCTCGTTCCATAAAAAAACAATTGATTAGGAAAAGCCGAGAGGACCCTAACGGCCTGAAAGGAACGCAGATGCCATCCATAACAACACCTATAAACATCACTAAGATCGGATGTTGGAACGTAAGAAGAATGTTCCAGATTGGAAAAACAGCGAACATCGTAAGAGAGTTTAACAGATATAAGTTGGACATAATGGGACTGCTCGAAGTGAGGTGGCTTTGGTGAACTTAAGACAACCTCTGGAGAGACCATCTTGTACTCCGGAGCTGAAGAGCATCATAGAGGAGTAGGAATTATACTTAGCAGGAAAAGCCGACTGAGCTTGATTGAATGGAATCCTGTTAGATGTAATGACAGAATCATCAGCGTACACTTTTTCTCCCACTTTGCTAAGCTAACAATAATACAATTATACAGCCCAACAAACGAAGCAGACGAAGCGGATAAAGGCACCTTCTACGAACAGCTTCAAAGAGAGACTGCAAAAGTGCCAATACTGATGGTAATGGGTGATGCAAATGCAAAAGTGGAAAAGTCAAACGAAGGATGGGAAAGAGCCATGGGACAAGAGGGCATTGGGATTGTGAATGAAAATGGCATGAGGTTAGCAGAAATGTGCGCTCTTAACAACTTAATCATCGGTGGAACCCTCTTTAAGCACCTCGATATACACAAGCTTTCATGGGAGTCACCGAATGGAAGAGATAGGAACCAGATTGACCATGTAATGGTGAACGGCAGATACAAGAAGTCTGTATGTGATGTAAGAGTTATGCGTGGTGCAGATGCCAATTCAGGTCACCATCTAGTATTGGCTAAAGTAAAGATGAAGCTCTGCAGAAACTTAAAGCCGAAGGAAAGCAACAGGAAGATGTATGATGTCAACAAGCTGAAAGATCCAAAAGTAAGCAAAGGATTCCAACTTGAACTAAGGAAAAGGTTTCAACAACTGTTCGATGACGAAAGCACAATTACCAATGAAAAATTGATTCTTGTAAAAGAAGCATACAATGAAACAGCAGAAAAGATCCTGGGCCAGAAGAAAAGGAAGCACAAATCCTTACCAACTGCAGAAACTTACAGAGCCATACATGAAAGGAGAAAACTAAAGGAAGAAATAGGAAGATCAAATTCGGAGAGTATAAAGGAAATTAAGAGAGAAGAATATAAGACCAAAGACAAAGAAGTGAAAAGAAGAGCAAGAGCTGATAAAAGGAAAAATCTGGAAGATGTAGTTAATCAAGCAGAGAATGCAGCAAACACAAATGGTCTGAGTGAGGTTTACCAACTGACCAAGCAGCTTTGTGGGAGAAAAAGAAACAGGACAAGTGGCATTAGGTTAAAAAATGGTGAACTTATCATTGAGGATGGAAAAAAAATATTGGAGAGATGGAAAGAGCATTTTGAAGAGGTCCTTAAGTAAAATATAGGTGGTGCACAATGGCAATATGTAATAAAGATTCTGTAAACGTTTCATTAAATTTCACTCAGTGGTATAAGAGGAATTGCGGATAAGAGATGGGTACCCAAAGCGTAACAGACAGACGGACGGACGGACAGACGGGCGTACAGCTACACGGACGGACGGACATAGCGATTACAGTATACCCTCCCACTTTTCAAGCGGGGGGAATAAAAATGTAATGTACATATGAGTAAATGTACCAACTAACGCCTGTATCTGACATTTTAGAAGATGCAACATAATTATGTATACATGCGACTTATTTATGTCCACAGCCATGATAATTATGTCAACATGCAACTTATTTATGTTAACATGCAAGATAATTATGTCAACATGCGACTTATTTATGCCAACATGCATGATAATTATGTCAACATGCGCCTTATTTATGTCAACATGCAAGATAATTATGTTATCTTGCATGTTGACATATATAAGTAGGATATCAACATAATATCTTACATATGAACATAAATATCTTGCATGTCTACAAAATATGGTGGCATATTTATGCCCCCTACATGCAAGATAAAATATGTTAGCTTGCAACATAATTATGTAGACATGCAACATATTTATGTCAATTAACATGCAAGTTAACTATGTTGACTTGCAAGTTACCAATCTTATAAGAAAATATAAATTGAATATGGGCAAATTTACTTACTTACGCCTGTATCTGACATTTTAGGTGCAAGATTCAACAAGATAATTATGTTGACATACTACTTATTTATGTCAACGTGCAAGTTAAGAATGTCAACATGCAAGATATGTAAGTTGTTATGCAACTTATTATCTGGCATGTTGACATACATATTTTGTATATAAAAATATAACTCGCATGTTGACATAACTAAGTCGCATGTTGACATAAATAAGTAGTATGTCAACATAATTATCTTGCATGTGAACATAAATATCTTGCGTGTCTACATAATTATCTCGCATGTTTACATATTTATCTTGCATGTTATCATGATTTACTTACATGTTCAAATAAACAAGTTGCATCTCTACATAATTAACTCGGATGTTGACATAAATATCTTGCATGTCTTCATAATTATCTCGCATGTTAACATATTAAGTAAACCACATCTTGTCATTATTATGTTGCATCTTGCATCTTCGATGTCAGATACGTACGTGATTTAAACCATATTAAAATAAGATTTTCATACATAAATTTATATTTTGCAGGTCAACATCTTTATCCTGCATGTAGAAAAAATTATCTTGCATAATGACATAATTTTCTTGCATGTTAACATAATTTATCTTGCATGTAGTGGGCAGAAATATGCCACCATACTATCACAACAAACGCATTAGGATTTTCCAATATCATTTTCACAGCGATTTTCTGTGGCTGCTAGCTGAGCCGACAAGTTTTACATTGCTAAAAAATATATATTTAAAAGTACTAAGTACGAGCATATAAAGGTAATAATTGAATTTTATTTTGAGCAAAATGTTAAAATACACACTCATTTGAGTATCTTTTACGCAGTAAATAATCAATATTGTGCTGTGGTAGTCAGAATTTAAAGTTCCTGGCAACAGCGCAATGGATAAACAGTTATGCTGACACTTTTGTCAGATGAAGTTCTCACTGCAAACTTTAAGGTAAGACTGAATTAAATTGAAAATTAAATTAATTCATTAAAATTATTATTATTTCATTTAATGTGTGTCCCTTCATATCTGATAATAATTAACGTAAATGGAAATGGTGAACAAGCATAAATAAAGCAATTGTGCTGTGGAAAATGTCAAACTAGAGGCACTGTGAGCAATGAGCTCACTAAATGATACCCCCGCCTTCCATATGAATGTAATGAGAATGTCCAAGTTTAGTTGTGGGAAACCAAAATATGTTTTAGATCAAAAACTAAAAAAGGAGGTCACAATGGCAATGTGTTATAAAGATTCTGTGAAAGTATCATCAATTTCATTCAGTGGTATGAGTTGCGGATAAGAGATGGGTACCCCCAAGCGTAACATACCGACGGACGGACAGACATACCGATTACTATGAGGGTTGTTCGAAAAGTTCGTGGACTCCTGCCATATCTTTTTTATTTAACGTCATATGCTAATCAAATTTGGTAGAGTTATTTTAACAATAAATCCAAATGATTTGTATTATGAAAAATAAAATTATCGTGATTTATGTTACACCTTTCCAGAATTTAAAACTGCAAAAATCGGACAGCGTAGCACGTCAAAATTTAGTAATTCACAAACAACACACGAACAAGCTAATTCAGAGAATTCGTGTCCCCCGCTTAGGGGAAAAAGTCGGATCCCCCGACTGAATTTGTAGAATTATTAAATGTATACATGCATACTGAAGCAAATAAAATACATGTATGTCAATATGCATATAAAGATTTGATTGCTTATTCTTTATTATGTGTATAGAAGATTCTTTTTATATGGAATATTTATCACACTGTAATGATGATTTTATGAGTTTGTACAAGCCATACCTCATAATTTTTTTATTTCACATGCTGAATACTATCAAGTAGTAAAAAAAAAAAAGTATTTCGAAAAAAAAAGAATATGGATTGTCCGGGATTCGAACTCGGGACCTTTCACATGTGAAGCGAGAAACATACCACTAGACCACAAAACTGCTTTATACTGGTGAAAATTATATGCAAAAATGAAGTCACATACAAATATTTATATATTCATGTTCGATATTGTCAAAATTTAACACAATGCATAGTGTCTAATTTAACCTTTATTAAACAACTCTAATGTAATAAGAATATAAAGTCCGCCGAGAAACTCTCCTCATGCCCCTGTGCTAAAAATAGCGACATGTAATACAATAAATACTAATCTAAAAAACACTTTGAGAGGGGTGAGAGAGGTCCTAGGGAGTTTTGGTATAAAAATACATTGCAAAAGCTCAAAATCCTCTTGAAATATCACCCGGAAAGGATAGTGTTACACACAGATACAATGTATAAATTTACGACCTTGAACTTTGACCTTTTTACCTCAAAATATATAGGAATCCTCCTTTGGCCACAGGGAGTTGTTATGTAAAATTTCATTGCAATAGCTCAAAGGGTTCTCGAGATATCGCTCGGAAACGAAAGTGTAATAACAGACAAAATTTGCGAATTTATGACCTTGACCTTTGACCTGTTGACCCCAAAATCAATAGGGTTCTTTTTCAGTCCATAGGGAGTTGATATGCAAAATTTCATTGCGAAGGCGCAAAGGATTCTTGAGATATCATGTAGAAACGACAACGTTACAGACAGACAGAAAGACGGACGGACGGACAGGCGGACAGACTGACCCAAATTTAATATCCCCTACTTTTCAAGCGGGCAACAAAAATGTGACAATATCTGTAGACGTTTAAATTAAGAACTGTAATATTGATTAATATTCCAAATTATGGTTAAATAATCATATATTTGCTAAATAAAACAGGGATATATAAAAAATCCTTCATTTTCGAAAATCTAAAAAGAAAAATGAAGACCTAATAAAGGTATGTGTTTTCTGAAAATGGGGGGGGGGGGTAGGAATTGACTTCTCACCTATAAAATCTTTGAAAAGGAAAAAAAGGAGGGATAATTTTTAACTTTTATGAAATTATGTTGTTTTCAATACACAAGTAACTATAAAAACCGGAGAGGGGGGGGGGGGTAAACAGGAAAACATGTTTGATACTACCATTTCATCAAAATTTGTTCTAAACATATTTATGAAGCTTTAATTTCAACATTCAATTATCTTAGAACTCGCATAAGATTTTAGATGATATTAAATAACCAGGTACACTGCAAGACCAAGCTTTATGACTGGTCGAATGTCTTTATGTTCGAAATCATTTAAATTATAAATGTCGATGATAGGTAATAATTAAGTTTCTAGTATCATGCTCACTAATCAACGATTTTGGATGAGATCCTAGTTATTGGAATCTACAGAACTGGTAAACAAACAAAGGAAAGAATTTGTTACCTGTTTCTCCATGAAATAAAGAAAAGGAAAGAAATTGCAGTATCTCTTTCTCTTTCTCAATAAAGAAAGGAAAGAATGACATAACTGCTTGGGGAAAAATATGGTGAATTAAAGTTAATGTAAAGCTTCATAAAATGATTATTTCTTTCCATCATATAAATCCCCAAAGTCTTAACCGTGTATCCATTGAACAGATATGAAAATTAATCACTCTTTTTAAGGAAAATTAACTAAATATTGGAGGCATCGGGTCTTAAGATTTTTTGATTAACAATAGATAATCAGTATCACGCGTTTTTCGTCCATTGTTACATCTTCGCTAGCCAATGGTCGTATAAGAAACTCTTGGCTAGCAAAGATGCAACTGTAACGACTGCGTTTAAGCTGAACACGATTCGTAAAAGGAATGTGTCCGCCATTTTTGTTCGGATTCTCGCTATATCTAAAGTCCCTTATACATTGGGCTTGACTAAGACACTGTTCATTGTAATACAATGAAGCGCATTGAAGTGGTAAAATTTTCCGTTTTAATGGAATGTTTTCAGCTATCTTTAGAACGTTGGTTGTTATACAATGACACGCCCATTTCTTTAAAAGGGAAAAATCGGCCAAGTGGTTCATTCATTCATTGGTATTCTATATTTATAATAGCCCATCAAATGCACAGTCTACATAAACACAGAGTAAGCACGTGTTCGACAAATACATGTGTTATTGAAACTCCAATATACATGATAAATTCGTAATTATGTACGAATTTGATGCAATACGTGTTTTACAAAAGATGGAACTATCTAAATATCTCTTATAACTTTAAAAATCCCCATTTCGGTTTTACTCGTGTTGTTTGTCGCAACGAGTGGGGTGTCCCAAAACATTACGACAATTTTTTCTCGTTCGTTTCTAAAGAAATGGACGTGTCATTTTGTCATAATTGACGTTCAAAATATGACTCA